ATTGTTCTCCTAAATAAAGGCTGCTACTGCCAAACCTTTGCTCCCTGCATACGACAGCTAATGGTGTGCAAATGAGTGTATGAGGGATACCCCAACCCATTACCAACTTCAACAAGGCCTCAAAATACTCTGAGCTTAACTCACATCACTGAAAACATTCCCCATCTCTCTATAAAAGCTTAAATTTTCCCCACCACTTCCACATTTTGCTTTATGATGAAACAGAACACAAATAACTACCCACTTCTACGTGTTTATGTACCTGAAATACATCTGCCACTCTAATAAACTTCAGCAGCTCTCAGAGAGATCTTTCAATAGAATTTAAAATGGGGTTAAAACATTCCTAATGGCTGGTAAATACTTACCAGGCTTCTGCAAGTGTCTGTGAGAGTTTATGTACACACACGCAGAAATACATAAGCACATATGTAAATATGTAAGCATGGGCAGCTCAGACAATGCATCTCCTTTTCATACTGTATTTAGTTTCCACATCCACATTTTAGCTCCTTTCAAATAGTGTGTGTAATGTACATGCAACTAAAGTATTATGAAGTGCTGCAAATGCCTGGAGTAAAAATCTTGTCATGCTCAGACTCAGAGTCACGTAGCTATTTGAATGGTAATGACTCTTGCACGCCTGGGGACCCTCACAAAAAAGGGCCATTGTGGTAATAATTGAGGCATCTCCCAGTCTTACCAATCTCCCTGATGTTTTTTTGAAGTCTAAGTGCTTTCTGAGATGTTTCTGTAATCACATTTATTCCTCATCGCTCTCTGTCTTTACCAAAATCAAGCAGATCGTGAAAAGGTTCTTACAGAACACTGATTTTAAATCTCCTACCGTCAACCTGGTTAATGAATCTCATAAACACAGAAGACGAACCCATTTAAAACAGTTAATTTGCCTAAAAATTTAGAGGTATTCACATAAAAACTAAACTATATACTTAAAACGTTTGGCTATGGATTTTGTCATCCACTCTATTTCACATAAAATGGAAGGTTATAAGCCTACATTTGGATAAACTCCTTCAAGGAGGTTGCCAGCTCTGTTGGCAAAGATGCTACAAGATCACCACAAATACACTGAACTCTAATCCCAAACAGTGGTGACTCCATGACTACCACTCCACTAAATCTTCAGTACATACATTCCTAACATGTTCATTTCTCAGGTTTAAACATTAAATTTTCACACTTGGCTATGCTGAAATGTATTACCATTTTAATCTAACACCACTCAGAGAGTCAAGGTCAAGGCAGTTTCTGAAATGTGTTAATGTTTCCAGATAAACATGCCTGGCATAAACAGTCCATGAACACGTAAAGCACTTTCCCTCACACAATAACCCAGTAATGGAGTGTTCTCAGTGGGCAGATTCTCCATTCTGCCAATTAAGAATAGAAATAGCAAAAAAAAACCCAACCGTTTTGGGGGTTTTTGCACATCCTGCCAACACAACATTCAAGATTTTTATTAAAAAACTTATAAAACTGCCAGACCTAAGTTCAAGATGCATGAAGTCTGTACCATCTTCCTCAGTATGCAGTTTGTTGAGACCCGGCAACAAAACAGGAGGAATTCTAACATCTTCACTTCATCCTGGCCATTCAAGTCAGTCATTAATCTCGATATTGTAAATAGGTAATTCTTTGCAAAGTCTGGCTCTGAATGGTCTCTCTGAACTGATCAGGTAGATGATAACCTCCTACCACTGAAAAAGGAAGAAGGGGAAAGACAGAAGAAAGAATAAACACAAATTTCTTTAACCTGCTTTATCTGAACACAGGAGCAGCAGGCAGCAGGTGGATGCAGCATTTCTGCTGCCGTTCAGAGTTGCACTCAGAGGGTGCAGAAGTGAAAAAAATGCCCCATTATTTTATTGTTCATTGCCATTTCTCAGAAATCTCTTTGTATCACTGATCCTGACCAGATTCTTGCTGGTTCCCTTCAAACAACATAGGTAGATGCTGCCACAGGCTGAACATTGCTTTGCATAATCAGATTCATGTGCTTGCTATTAATATACACATTTTCAGGTTACCTCCATAATAGAAAGGCCATATAATAATGACATTATCACCACTATGACTTCAAAAAGCACAAATGATAAAACAGCAGACTACAGAATGGAACTGCAATGGTCTACTTTTAATTTCTGACATTGGCAGAATTATTCGGCCTCAAAATACTTAAGTAGCTGTTTTTACATAATAACCTGCCCACTATGGTCCAGGCTGAATAACTCCTTGCACACACGTTCGTCCTGAATTGCTCCATGACAAAAGATTTAAAAATTCACGTTTGAGGTCATGTCATTTCACCTACACATTTCAGATGACACTGCAGAACCCAGACAAACCAGTTTCACCAATACTCCCAGAAAGATCAACTTCCTATTACACAATGTAAACCAGAAGAAAGAACTGTCACCAATTCTTTCCTGCACCTTTGTCATCCTTCTTACACAGGATACACCTGTGTATTTTTGCAGCGAATTAAATTCCACATCCCCTCCCAGGGCAACCTAAGTGCATTCCGAGACATTTTACTAACGACAGGGAGATCCAATGATGCAATTAACAGAAATTAAAATCAGCTGGTTTACTTGGAGGCAATTCAGGCAGCCTAAGCAGTCATCCCATTCCTTAATTTAAAAGCAAAATGCAACTAAGTCAGATACTGAGAATGAAAAAGCCCCAAGCCAGTTGTGTGATACACTGCTGGAGCAGACAGGCTCTTTGGAATATTCCTGCAAATTCTGTAACCAAGGAGGTTAGCAATGATAAGGCCTGGCTTTTCATTACTGTCCTTACACTAGTTATGTTTGCTAAAATAATCCCTTCTAGTGTGTATTTGCATTGTAGTGGGATTTAGAAACAGTTAATGTCAGCTGCAACTCAAGGTGTATGTAAACCAACTAGGAATACTCTTCCTATGATTAACATATTTCAGAAACACCTCTAAATTGTAAATACATACACGTAAAAATATCAGTTCCTTTGTAGCATACTTCATTTGAAGCAATGCATTTTTTATCTCAGATTAATTATAAAAAAATACCATGAATATTAAACTGAAAAACTATCTGCTACTAACAATTACCTTCTCTTACGTGAAAGATTATCTTAATATCCTAAGAAAATTTTAATAAAAATTTGAAGCATTGCTTTCTTATTTTACAGAGTTTTCTGTTTAAAAAGTGTAGCTGTGTCTCAAAAAGAATAACATACATTAAAAAGCAGTGTAATTGCCTTTCATTACATGACAAACTTCATCTCCTTTGTAAAACATGCTGCTTATTACACTGTTGATGGTATGCTTCAATACTGTATGAAAAACTTTCATTCCTATTTATAATATTTTTCCAAAAGAAAGGACCCAAATTCAAACTAACACTATAATCATTTAAAAAAAAAAAAAAAGAAAGCTTACAGCAACTTGGTACACTTTTACATTAATCAGCAGTAACCACATCTGGCTTAGTACACACTGTGAGCATAAGCAGTTTTATTCTGGGTCTAACATGAGAAAAAAAAAGAGACAATTCAACAACTGACACTTCTAGAAAATATAATTGCTAGTCAAACAAGTTCTTACAAAGCACCTTTAAAAAGTAAAGAGTGGTTTGGTTTTGCCATTTTAATTATATTTTTATACAGGTTTTAAAGTTCTGTTAAAGCCAGCTATGAAAGAAATTTATAACTATGAGACATGAGACAGTTGTCAGCATAAGCGTCAGACACCAAATCTATCAAATTCCCACGGATGTGCCACAAATCAGGATATTCCAGGGGCTTTCTGATTCACCTACAGGATTGGCTTTTATGAGTCCAAGTAAGTTAAACATAGTGTAGATGTTCAGAAAAATAGAACAACTTTCAAGAATAGGTTTCTACTATTTCTATTTTGACAATTATTCAATGTACATTGCATTAATTTTAAAAAAATATTTACATGCTAAAAACAGGAGAAAGATAAAAGCTGCAACAACTATTCTTCTGTCAACTGCAAACGTTCATGCAAACTCACCACAAAAGTTATATCGCAGCACTGATCTCCCCATAAAGTTGTCATCAAATGGGAAGGATATAAATTATATCAGATGCAAAGTTAATTGGGAAGAAGAACAAATGGCAGAACTGCCGTTCTAAGCTTTTCCCATGAAGAAGGGAACACACACAACGCGGACACACCCTTTCGCAAAAAAAAAAAAAAACAACACAACTCTAATTTGCGGAATAAAAGGCAGATGAAGAAGTCAAGAGTGCCCTGAGCCCAGGAATGCCAGGAATCCCCGGAGGAATGCGTGCGGGCAGGCGGTCCCGGCGCCCCGCGGGGGCTCCGGCCGCGCCCGCCCACCTGGAACCCGGGGCCGGCAGCAGCACCTCCAGCTGCGGCTCCGGGGCAGCCGCTCGGGGGGGAGGACCCCGCTCCTGACAGCCCCCAGGGGACACGAAGGCAGACCCGGGTCTCACCGGAGCCCGCTCTCCCCGCAGCGCCCTCTCCCCTCCGCCGCTCAGCCCGCCCGCCCCGGGGCGGCCGCTCCGCCCGCACAGCCCCGAGGAGCGCCCGGGGGAAGCGCTGCCCCGCCGCTGCTCCAGCGGCTCCCCGGGCGTGCGGGGACAGCCGCGCTGTCGCCTCCTCGCCCCCGGGAGGGCCCGGCGCCCTCGGCCTTTGGGAATGTGCGTGTTTAACGGAGCGGAGGGAAGCAGCGACCCGGGGCGCCTCGGGAGCCGCCCCCACAGCCGAGGGCGGCCACCGACCCCGTGCCCGCCGCGCTCCCGTCACAGCCCCGTGCCCGCCCGACCCCGGCCGCCGCGGGGAGAGCCGGGCGACGCCGCGCCCCCCTCAGCCCCCAGACCGCCCGCCGCCGCTCTCCTCACCCGTCCCGGGCCGCGTCTCTCGCTCTCTCTCAGGGAGATCCCCACCAACTCCGTGCCGCTCTCCCCGCCGCCCCGCCAGCCGCGCTCGCCGCCGGAGCCCAGCGCGGACTGCCCGCCCCTCCAGCGGGGGAGGGGGCGCCGGGGCCGGGCCGGGGCGGAGCCAGGCGGGGGGCGCTCCCGCAGGTGAGTCCGGGCTTTCCCGCTGCTTTGCCGCCCGCCCGCGGCCTTTGCTCTGCGTGAGGGGGAACGCGGCGCGCCGGGACCTCCCCGACAGACACCTACAGCCCGCCGAGGGAGGGGAGGCCGCCCCGCGCCTCCTCAGCTCGGGCTGCGGCGAACCGGGACGGAGCGGGGTGACCGCAACAACCCGCCGAGGAAGGAACCCGCGCGCTGTCGGTCGATGGAGGCCGCCTGACAGCCGGGTTTGTTTTCCCTCGCCGTGCGGAGGCGGCTGGCGGGAAGGGCTGAGGCAGCACGGGGACGGGGCAGGGCGGGCGCGGCGCCGGCCGTGAGGAGGAGGAGGAGGAGGCGAGGGAAGCGCTGAGGGAGCCCGGCTGGAGCGAGCGGGGCAGCGCTCCCGGAGCGGCCTCACGGGCACCCCTGGGCACACCTAGGCTGCCTTCAGCACTCGGGGTGATTTCCACAGTGTCTTCAGCCGGACTGGAAATATCCCAAGGTGATTCCAAAATATTCTACACGTGTAGTGAGAACTGAAGTGCTGCCGTACTGCAGCATCTCTCTCCTCTGATCCCTGAGAGAAGGAAAGGAAGGTGCTGAGGACTTGAGGTTTACAAGTGTCATCCCAAAAAAAAATACAGTGTCTACAACCACGTAACAAGAATTGGGCCTCAGATAATTTTTTTCCATGCTCAGAAATCTGTTCTCAAGCTCTGAACCACATAAACCAAGGGGCAGTGTCAGAAAAAAGGCTACAGTGTATGTACGGGGAAACAAACACAACAAAATATGATAGATCCCTATCTACAACAGAAAAATGCAGTGAACATGAGAAGGAAGAATTTAGTATATGAGCCATGAAAGCCATGTCAAAGATGTTCTATGCGAGGAGTAGGGATAGGCAAACATCCTCTTTTCAAACCCGGTAGCGCTGGAGGTCACTGCTCAAATTTCTGTCAGAGCTGCTCTGCTACCTGCTACATGTCTGTCAAAACAAGCCCAATTAGCAAACACGTGTGTGTATATATATATGGAATTGTATATAATTTTATAGATATTCTGTAAAGAATGCCCCTGTCTTAGAATGTATAAACAGAAGAGGTCCAACTAGATAAGAAGCTGTTCCAAATAAAACATCCATATTAACACTGCTGGGGCACTGCATCCAGTTTGGGGTTCTATGCTGGGAAAAAATACATCAGAAAACTAAGTGCATTCTAAGAATTTTAAGGACGTGTATTTCAGTAGTATTCCAAGTCAGTATTTCAGAAGGATCTATTGACTGCTGCAAGAAACAGTCAAAAGCAAAACAAGGAGACAGAGAAGAGTGACTGACAGCAATTGCTTGTGATAAAATACTATACTGATGGTTAATCAGTAGAAAGAACTCTAAACTGTGGGAATTGGACAAATTATAAACAGTTCTAGAGAGGAAACTAGTGAGTTGTTTGCAGACATATGACATATGTTAGCTAACAGGAGGGAAGTATTAGGTGTGACAGGGTCTATAAAGACTTCTATTGTGGAAATATGCACCTCTATGTAATGTATTAAGTTGATTCTCCCTCAAAATGGTTGTTGGGAGGAAAGTCATAGATGTGCGGATTTTTCTGGCCCTTGGTAATGATTTGACTCGTCAAAAAAACATTCATGAGACAGAACAGCCCAAACTTGTGCTGCCATCTTGATTTTTTACATACTTTGACATTTAACATTTGTTTTTCATATGCATTGTTTCACATAACCAGTCCATGACTAGTCTTGGAGCTGTTTAAGTAAAAGATGTAAGTTTAAGTAAAAATGTGTAATGTTTAAGTGAAAGTTTGCTTAGCTCCTTTCACTGTAGTTTTCAGAAAACATATGAAGGTCGTACACCCCTTCAACTGATAAAACTGGGAAACAATGAATGGAAAATAAAGTAATTAAACTTTTTTTTTCTCAGTTACTACGTGAGTTATGTGGCAAAGTTTCAGTTGAACTCACAGACATTTGTATATATGACTGTATTTTATCCCAATTAAAGTGTTAAGAAACATGCTGACACTTTGTTCAGCCTCATATTGTAGTTTTGTAACGTGTGAAGGAATTGCACTAAATAGAAAACAAAATGCTTCATTAAAGGGGTGTATACACCTGTAATTTTCAGGTTATTGTTAGAGGTTAATTAAAACAGTGTTAATAAGTGATGCTGTACAGTAATACATTTCCATTGCATTTAGAAACAAACCAGAAAAAAAAAAAGATTCAATTCTTGCTAAAACAACCAGGCTATGATGACTACTAATCATTATTACATAGGCTATAATTGTTTTCTTTCATGATGTACCCCTCAGATAACAGCTCAAGAGACAATTCAGTTGGTATCTGGCTTGCTCAGCATTAAATTGCTCAGAAAACTGTTCTTTTGTTCTGTATTGAGTTTCAGAAAAAATGTTTTGTATAGTAATTAAGCTAAGGCATTTTTCATTCTTTTTTTTTAACTTTCATTTACTTTTTTTTTTTTTAATTGAAGGGGGGGGAAGGGAAAAAGTTGGGACCAGCACAATTGCTAAAACTCTGGTATTGGCTGTGAGCATCCGAGACTGGAAAGGAGAATTTTGACTGGATTTTGACTCAAAGCTCCATCCTACACTTGGATGGAGGAAAGTTTACTTTGAACCTTTGAACGTTTAATTTTTCATTAAAACTGTACTTTAAATCAAACATTTTGTCAAACTGTTTCTTACAGATCTTTGGCATGTTCTGAACCTGAGTTTTACACGTACTTGATGTACTAATGCTACAAACATGAGGACTGTTCCCTAAGAGCCGGAGTCCAGCTGGAATACTGCAAAAGTACAAGGTTATCCAGTGAGGTAAGAATTTTTGAAGGAATGTATACAAACCCAGCAATAAGCTAAAATTGCACTGAGGACAGAATATCATCTCAGTGCAGGCTGCATTTCCTTTCCCACCCCTCATCCACTTATTTTTCTTTTCCTCGCCTGTAAATTAAGGTTTTGGTCCATGTTTCCAAGGCTGGCTCAACACCGTGATTAATGTTTCTCTGTCCAGGCAGTGTATTATCAGGCAGTTGGGAAAGACAATACAAAATGGAGTTTGCAGCTAAAGCAAAGCCAAACAGTAATGCCCAGCAGTTTGTGCTGCAGATTAATTCCAGCTGCTCCAGCACACCTCGGGAACTGAACAGCACTCCTGAATTCAGCTCTCGCCTTGCCCTGAGTTAGGCTGTGGTGAAACCTTGGCTTCTTAGTGCAGTGCTTGGCTCCTAGCAAGATGCATCTCTCTCTCTGCTATTCCACTACACGTTAAATTGAATTTTGACACTTTATTATAGTCCCTGATTTCCTTTCAGGAAAGAATCTAATCCAATAATCACAGTGGAAAGTAGGAAAAAAAAAAGTCTTTCTCAAGGTATATAATTTCATTGAAACACTGCTTCTGACTCATGTTTTACAATACATGTTGCAAATTTTCTTTGTTATAAAAGATTATAGATGTCTCTTGCTTAAGAAATAATAGTTATCCCTGTTATTACTGTATTCAGTAAGCTGTTGAATAGACATTTTTATCTCTTCTTTCAAGAAGCAATCTTCAAAATTCAGGTTTTCTTTCTAGTCTCTACTGTTATTTTTACTGACTTGTTTCTCAAAACATTTTTTCTTAAGCAGAATATTTACAGAGTTGATTCTAAAATTATATCTGTAAAATTGGATCTGTATCGCAACCATTTTAATAAATGTAAAGCACTTTAGAGTTATATGAGCATGGGAAAGTACCCTTTTATAAAAACCAGACCACTTTGGCTATCACAGAACACCAAGGAACAGTTGTATTTTAAATATTAAATTTACTGTGGTATAAATTTACTTTCAGAGGAGGATATGGGGTATTTGAAGAAATGTAATTGTACACTCTTATCAGATGCTTTTTAATGTATGATCTCTGGTTGTTCCTTGAAAGACAACTAACTAAAAAAGGAGGCCCTTCATTTTCCACCTTGCTTGTATTTTTCCCCATCTTTTCACAGTGGTTTTTCTCTCTCTCCTCTCTCTTCCTCTCCTCTGTCTCTTCCTCCCTCCCTCTTTCTTTCTTTTTGGGGGTAGCCCATCTTTTACACTTCTCCCGTTTCTCTCTTCTCCCAGGTACAGCTGTCAAACACTGGGCACTGCTGACAGAACCCAGGGCATGGGGTTCCCTCTGTCTCTAACCCAGGCACACAATGTTCTCTAAACCAGCCTGAATAATCCCACCCATCAGGCCTAGCCATATATTCCAGAACATAGTGACATGGCAGGAGAGTAAGGCATGCCAAATAAAATGTATAAAGGGACAGATTAAATTGTAAACCAAGAGATTCATATTTTCTTCAAGAGTGGAAAATACCCGGAGTTTACTTTATACTAGCTAATGCATGGTAAGGAAGGAGTTAGGAGATGGAGATTTAAATTGAAACTTCTCTTCTGTGGAATTTAATTTCATTTTAGTGAGCTCAAGTTTACAGATACTCCTCCTGCTGAATGTAAGACTGTACGATTATTAACCTTACTTTTGTAGAAATCAGGAGTGAGATACAATATTCAAAGGTGCAAAGTGAGATGAAGAGAAGGTACCACTGACTTTAACAGCTGTTGAGGGGAAAATATACCCAACACAAAGTTTGGTCACAAATAATATGATAGTTTCAATATTCATTTAACAAATAATATGTTGGCTAGTAATTAATTGAATAATAATCCTGATATGAACTTTAGTTGAAGATTTTGGACACTGTTCTATAACTAGCCATGGCAAGGCTTTCTGAGCTCCCATTCTTCTCCTTGGACAACTTTTGGCTGTATCCACGTTTCTTCCTTCACCTTAATGACACAGTCTTGCTCCCACTAGTCTTATTCAAGTGATCTTAGCAGTGACAAAAGGAGGTTTTTTCCAAGAAGAGCCTGCAGAAATCCTAGGTCCTACCAAGTGCATCTGCATTAAACTTGCAGGTAGCATTGTAGCTGTTACCTGCTCTGCTGTGGTCCATGTGGCTCTCCTTGGGCAAGTCCATTCTCCTGGGATTTGGCTGGGCCCTGTCTGCAGGAACAAACTGATGTTTTAAGAGTAGCATATTCTGAGCCTCTATTTCCACAAAAACATAAAGTTAGTGATTTGTTGACATTATCAATGTATTTATTTGAAGAAAGATTAAAGGGTGCATTGTTTCAGTCATTGCAGATTTAAACTCTGAGTCATTTGTCACAGAAATAGTAATGTAGTAAATGAAATGGCTTCTATGCTCTTTGTGCACATAGCTCTTAAGAACTGCTACTTTTTTCTAGTTTTCAATAATGCCCTCAGTATTAGAACATTGTAGAGCTCCATGCACATATAGATCTATATGTAACAATGCTTTCTAATCTTTTTTAATCACAAAAATAGTACAGAACATGCTATTTTGAAACCAAAACCATGTATCAGGGCAAGGTAATACAGAGACTTTCTGAGTAATTTAATAATCCTGTCTCTTATCCTGAAATAACATCCACATGTAACATTAAGCAAATGTACATGTTATTGATATATTTAAAGTTTAACCTAACACATAAGTATTTGGAAAATTAAGGTCTACATTCTTAAGATTGGCATCCGAGGGTTGAGTCCTGAAGGCAGAATATATTCTGTATCTCTCAGAAATATTAATTTAAAATCTTGGTTTACCTTTATTTAATTAGCTTTTTTTTGTTTATAATGTGTATGAAACATAGTCTTGGTTTAGGGTATGCAGGCAATTTAACACATACCTAGTGTATCAAGGAAAACAGCACATAAGAACAAAATTGTTATTTTTCATGTTTTAAAATCTACTGTTAATCAAAAGTATAGCAGGACAAATTTTTATTTAGTTTACTGTACCAATTAATCCTTTCTGTCACGTGAGGATTTGCAGGTATTGCATCTTATGTTCAGTTTCCTTAAAAACATGTGTGTCTACTGAGAACTAAGGCCGATCGCCAGGAAGGAATTTAGGCTCCTGATTCCCACTGAAATAAAACTATTTCATTGGAGAGATGAAATGGTGAATTACCTGGGTCTAAACCCAAGCATAAACTTCTGGCACAGAGATAAAATCATCACAATCCCATGTAAAAATTAACTTTTTTTTTCTTATAGGCATACATAGATGTCTTATTTATTAATGTTTTGAGTTTTTTTCTACTTTGGACAAAAAAAAGAAATATTTGTGGAAGTCTAAAGCAGTACCCGATTCAACCCCTTTCTCTGGAATGAATTGGAGCGTGTGACCACTTTTATGCTGTGGTGCAATAGCACCGCTTGGTGGCTGCAGTAATTTTAACAGTTTGGTCCTCTGACAAACATCTGGGTAATAGCTTGAAAGTAAAGACCAGGAAAAAATATTATCTTTAATATTTTTACTTTTTTTTTTTTATTTCTAGACACTTTTTTCAATCAGGTGAAGTAGTCCCGTTTAAATCGTTTTGTGAAGCAATATTTTCGAAGAGATATAAACATTTCAGTAATGTTAAGAATATTATATAGGAATATAGGAAACTTTAGCATTCAACTTAAAGGTATTGAACCTTCACCTTTAAAGATAAAGCATCACTCCTGATTCACCTGCAGTATCTTAACTACTGATGAACTGAAGACTTCACAAAATAACTCTATCTTTGCAAGTCTAGGCAAGACCCAGAGGGACAAGTTAAGAAGGACAGGTTTTATGGGATTGGAATTTCCAGCCTTTATAGGTTTATTTGGTCAGGACTGATGCAGAAAGCTGCTTAAGCATGTGCTTAACTTAAAATACCTTCTTCAAGCCTATTCATTTCAATATGACAAACAGTTATTCATAATTAAACATGGAAAATTATTCAGGGCTGAACATACCAGGAAGAGGGATAGAAAATGAATGTGTTACCTGGAAATCCTTTGCTTTTTCTTTTTCAGGGGGGAAAAAATGGTAGCAAACAGATATGGAACTTTTTTACTCATTTGCAGGGTGTAAACCATAGCAGAATAAAGTCAACTCTCTTCTGTCTGAAAAAATATATCCATTGTATATTTAAAAAAATAAATAAGCAACAGAAGAAAGACTTTTAGCCTGTTAAAAAAGAAGTTACACTGCAATAACAATGAATTATGCTCCCACAGTGTCAGATGCATCATGTCAGGGGTCAATAGAAAGGGTCTGCATGAAGTTGAGAGGTTGCTGAAAAGAAGCAGTGTGTGAAGGTCTCTCCTCACTTTGAAGCTCCAGGAAGGAATTCTTGTGTGCTTTATGGGAAATTTTAACCAAACCCCCAAAATCAAGCAAGGCATTTTGCTGTTTGCAGACTCGAATGTACACCTGTGTAAGAAACATTTCACTGAAAATTAAGGGTTTTTTAAATTTTTGAGTTCCACTTGTGAACTAAGTGCTTCACAACTCTAAGTTTTTCACAGCTCTTACAAAGGTACTTTGGAATCTAAAACCATCAACAAGCAAATTAGATGAACTCAGGGAAACTGGTTCATCCTGGCCTTTACCATGGTTTGGTCCTTGCTTTTCTTTGAAAACAAACAGTGTCTTGTATGGGTTTCCATTTCAGATCCCCCAACCATCCATTGTTTTAAGAGAAGAAGCTTCCAGCCTGATTACGAGTCAGCCCAGAATATTTAAGGTATTTTAAATCCTCAAATCTGGAGGCTTTGGTGACGCAATAGGTTCTACCTTTGGCACTTAGGCAAAGTCTGCTCATTGTCACCAGGGCTCAAAGCACCTACAGAGACATGTTCATGTGGATTTGACACTGTGCTGATAAACTAAGCTGATACTCTGGTTTTCAGTTAATGCTGCTCTCTTTAGGAAGAAAAG